TCCGTTTGGGGCAGCGGCTCGGGTGAGCGCTCCCGCGGGGATTGGGGGCCGGCCGCGATGACGTCCACGGTGACATCATCTTTCTGAGACTCGGAGGCGGCACGGTGGGATGACGTCAAGGGGGGCGTCATCCCCCCGCGTCCGGCGGGTAATTTAAAAGTAGGCTCCATGCCTGAGGGTGGGGAGACGGATCTCCGGGAAGTCAGAGCCTGGCGGGCCAGAGATCTGGAGACCCTGGGTGAGTCCTAACCCGGGGTCCCCTGGCTAGTCACGGACAGAGGCTAGGGAAAAAGCAAGCCAGGGCAGGGGCGTGGACTCCGAGAGTGGGGGAGTTTAGGGTTTCAACCCCCTCCGCTAGGTGAGGACCAGAGTCCTGACCTTAGCGCCCTGGGTCGGGGTTCGGAGCGAGGGTGGGCCCGAACCTCCTTCCCTAGCGTGTGGAGGGCGATCGATCGCGTTACGGGATTTGTAAGGCGATAGAGTTTAATAAACCTGATAACTCCAAATACGTACAAAGGAGTGCATTGTCTGGGAAACAGGGGACACGGACGCCCCCCCCTACAGTGAACCCCTACAGTGCACATACATTTTTAATGCAACATTATGAGGAGGGTGATGTCTATTTCCCAGTAATAGTGAATCCAGTCTGTATCCTTCCAACTACCACAGGTACCTTGCCTGATGAACATTCAGTCCCATCCAAGGGGGGCCCTTTCTTGGTTTTGCAGAAGTAAGGATTGTCTGGATGGCTGCACCACAGCTGCTTGCAAGGGTCAAAGGTTCTGAACTGTGAAGCAAACAAGAGCCCTTCTGTTATTTTAATGGGTAGATAGTCTAATGGCCTCATCTAGGGCCTCCCAGCCCTGAAATGATGAGCATGTAAGAAAGAGAGCAGGTAGAGTGAAGAACTTTTAACCCCCAGTCCAGAAATTTGATGCAGCTCTTCCATCAGGGCAAACAAGGCACTATCACTTCTGATCCAGTCTGGTGAACACGAGGGAAAGGAAAAGACTGGAGATAGGCCCTCCATCATAATCCTCCTGGAGACCAAATAAGGTTAATAAACCATACCACTCAATACCCACAGACATCAGGAGATGCTACCAATCCCAGGACTCGGGATGTTTGCTATTGTGTAATTGAATAGTTGTATAACCACATGAAATCTTAGAAGTTACATGACTATTCGATAGTCCTCGGAGGCAGGGCCAGCAGCCAGTGCAATCTGGCCCCATTTCCGGGGACCCCCCTGCCTAACAGAGGCAGCAGATTGGGGTGGCAGGTGGTAGTGCCAGTTTAAAAACCAGTTCCCCGTGCAGACCACAGGGTGGCAGCAGCCCCAGTCCATGTGTGGGGAGGTGCTCCGTGCTCCCCATGGACAGGGGCTACTGCCGCAGAGCAGCCTCTGTCCGTGGTAGGCCCAGGCCGGCTTCCCCAGCAACGGATCCTGCCTTCCCCCTAGTCCCACTGCCTCTGAAGGAGGCAGCAAGGGGGGGAGCAGGCAGGTCCGTGGAAGTTGATTCATGCAGGGAGCTGGCTTGAAAGCCGGCTCCCCGCACTTATTGGCTGGAGCCTGCCCCCCTCATCCTCTGCGCCGCTGCCTCTCTATCAGAGGAAGCAGTGCAGGGGTGAGGGGAGCAAGTGGATCCAGTGCTTGTGGGGAGCCAGCTTTTAAGCTAGCTCCCCACTGGCACTGACTCCTGCTCTCCACTCCCACTGCTGTCTCTGATACAGAGGCAGAAAGGGGGGGGGGAAATGCGTGTAACTGACAAGATTAACTGATAAGCCCAGGGTTATCGGTTAATTGTGCAGTTGTCTATACAATGGCACCTCTACCCAGGACTACACTTGGCCCACAAGACCACCAAGCAACCCTCTCCATTGCCTCCTTAGGACTATCTGTCCCCGAGGGAACTTCCTTTAATTCTACAGCAAGAGAAAGAGGAAAAAAACAAACCCTATCGTAGTAGGAACAATACTCACCGCTGTGCATGTTTTGTAACCCACGCCGAAGTCAAAGCGGCATTGTTCATCCATAGAGTAATTGATTCCTGGGAGCTCTGGTAATTTGGGCCATTCATGCTCAAAGGGATCATCTAGGAGGCAGTCATAGGAACTGCAGTGACATCAGGCAAAAAAAAGTTGGGTTGAATGTTGCAAAATGTATTCTTTCATCACACCTTTCTTTTTTATTGTGTAGTTTTACGTATCTCTATCCTTACTCTCCCCCGCACTAAGAGATCTTTATTGTCTTTGACCATCCCCCGCAACCCTTACAAGAGCCACTATAAGCATGTGCATTTTTTCATCATTTCCCTCACGGAAAATGTATTCTTTGGTAGTGAACATAATCATTACAACTCCTCCTTTGGTGTGAAGAACAGCAAATTCACTACCTGATGCCTTATTGTGACTGTCAAGGAAAAACTCTACATCAGCAATAGGTGCTGTTGTCAAAACACATTCAAAGTTGTTATTTCCAGATCAGAATTTATTGCTATTTCTCCTGCCCAAGACAAAAAAGATTGAAAAGCAACCAAATCATGGCAGGATTCAGCTGGTTATATAAATAGGTCCCTCCAGTAATTCTTTTTAAACGTTAGTTCAAATGCACGACTTAATGGTGTGCTACATTTTTCTTTAAGATGCAACACTGGCCTGTCTAAAGGTTAGGCAGGAGCGCTGCAGGTAGAAATGTGTGAACTGCTCAACACAAATTATAAAAGTACTTAATATCAGTTTTGATGTGTCATCTAAATAGCAATGATGTGTGTGTGTGTGCGTGTGTGTGTGTGTAAGTAAGTAAACCTAGGGTAGGCAATAAAAAATGGCAGCCCACAAGGTTAGTCCCCGGTGGGCCACTGCCTCTATGTTTACCTGCACCTCTGCAGGGGTTGGGAATTGCAGCTCTGGTTGGCCACGAACTGTTGATCGTCACCAATACAAATAGTGGGAAGCATCATGGACCAGGACAATTCGTGGCCAACCAGAGCTATGGGGGTGCAGCTAAACATGGAGGGGGCTGCTGCCAGGGACTGATCCTGCAGACCGGAGCCAGCCTGCAGCCCGGAATTTGCTCACCCCTGGTATAAACCCTGCACTGAAACTTTTTGTGAACTTCAGCTTTCCTCATATCTGCATCTTTCTTCAGGCTACCATTTGCACAGTCCTTTGAGTAAGAGCCTGGTTTCTTAAAGCAGGTCACATGGAGGAGGTCACATGTTTTTCTGCTGTGTTTCTGAATGGCTCTCTCAGGTGATCCGGAGTATCAGTTCAGCAGAAGTCATCTTCACATAAGCAATTTTCAGTGAAGATATGAACATGAGCTTTGGAGTGACCCGGGGCTCTCCCCCCAACACAATTTTAATGTATTGAGTATGGTATGTTCTGAACCTATTCAGCAATGGTCATCAGTCCATAGCAAGAACCATGTTTCAAGGTCAGTGTTCAGAGATCAGAGTTACAGCTCTATTATATTGGCTGAACAAGATTCTTTTTGGTTTTGCTTTCCTTATTCAAATGTATTTTTACAATAAAAATGCTTCCACTCGTTCTTCTGTGCATCTGTTAATTCATACAAATGCATGCAGTCATTCATCTGTGCAATAAAAACAGACTGACCAGCAGGGCTGTTCTAGGGAAATGTGGGGCCTTGGGCAACCCCCACCCCCTCAATGCCCCAGATGTGGGGCCAGGACAATCCACCTGCTGTATGCCCCACTCTCATTCCGGCTCTGCTCTGCTCCCACCCGCCTCACTCCACCCCTTCCCTTTTGATCCCCCTTACCCAAAGGCTCCTCCCCGAGCAACGTGAGCCCCGCTCACCAGCCGTGCAATTCTGCGCTCTGCGCATGTGCAGATCGTTCTGCGCCGGCTCTTCTGGGTTGTAATCTACTCACCACGGGTGAGTCGAGTACATTATTTGTTGTGTGCAATCAGCAGGGCTCGACATTGCCTGTGAGAGCCTCTCCCTGACCAGCAGGGCTGTTCTAGGGAAGTGTGGGGCCTTGGGCAACCCCCACGTTGTCGAGGAGTAATCACGTTGTCGAGGAGTACAGATAGTTCGGAATGGCTACGTAGTTCGAACTATCTAGCCCGTGCCGCGTGTAGCCGCGCGGCACGGGGTTCGCACTAGCCGGCTTTTAAAAATGGCGGCGCCGGCTTTATGCTAATGAAGCCCGGGAAATTCAAATCCCGGGCTTCATTAGCAAGTTCGGTATGCATACATTCCCCCACTAGTTCGAACTAGCGGGGTAGTGTAGACATACCCCCTCTTCTTCCAGTGTGAGCGCTGCTACAGCTCAGTCAGCATACCCTGCAAATTCTCAGTATGCAAGTACAGTTAGCAAAACTACCCTATCCTAGGAGACCGTCTTGGTTATGACAATCTTGCGGCCCATTGAGAAGAAGAAGGGCCACCCACACGGCCCACTCACTAGTTTAGGTTGCCCTTGGCTGGTGTAAATCATAGTTGTTGAAATTGACCTACTTACTGTATGTATCGGTTCAACTCCTGCTTGCTGCATCGGGACCAATGGTAACGGTGGAATGCAGCTTGCACCAGCGGTGCCATAATGCTTCCCATGCTGGTCTCATCTGCACACCGGTTCCCCTGGCCATCATGTTCCATACCTAACCTGTTAAAAAAGCCAGTGAGCTGTGTTCCAAAGGGATGTGCCAGAAAAATAGTTATCAGCATTTTGAATATGAGTATTTCCCGTAAAAGCCTGTTGAAGTGGGTGAGGAAGGAGGCATATTCAACATGACTCTTCCACTAGTTGGACCAACTGTTGACACTTTTCAACATACTATGCAATTCCAGCACCAGTAAGAGTGTAGTTCTGCATGGAGACAGAGCAGGAATAAAATGCAAGGAACTGAACTTGCCAGCGATGGCTATTAAAACTATGAGCTGGCTGATTGGGTATGACCCAGGCTCAACACAATGGTATAAGAAAAGTCTTTGTCTAAGACAGGAACTTCTTACATCTAAATCTTCACAGCTGACATCCTTAATAATGATGTCCTAGAAATGGAAGAGTTGCAAACACTACAGGTCTCAGCAGATAACATTTCATCTTGATCAGTGTTTCTTAAACTTTTTAAGACCGAGGAACACCAAACAATAATTTTTTGTGCCATGGAACACAATTTAGATATGTGAACCTGTAAACCTCCTTGCAGGAGGTATAAGGGATCTGTCGAAAAAGGCTTTCTTTCTCGACAGATCCTCTTCTAGACTGCCTCTTTTTGCCAACAAAGTGCTTAGTCATCAAAACGTGGTGGCCATTTTTACACAAATTAGGCACGGGATATTTAAATCCCTGCCTCATTTGCAATGTCGACCTGCCTAATCTGCATCCCTCTGCCGACAGAGGGATGAAGTCTAGACATACCCTAATAGTACTAGCTGAACTTCTGTGAGTGAAAGTGAATGACTGTATTTCCTGGTTGTCAAAACTTTTTTTTTTTTTTGCTCAAGTCATCATTCGAGTAGGAGATGATATACCAACAAGCAACTTTAGCTCTGTGTTAATGCAGGGGGTGAGTTGCCACTGAATACATATATATATATTGTCTTTAGCAATGCTGAAAACAGACTAACAGAAACTAGATGGAAGAGATCTATTATCAAGATTGCTCATAACAATATTTTACAGACTGTTTGTCCAGTCTAGTTTGAAATTACTCAGACAATAGGGTTTTCTATCACTTTGCTCAAAGTCTAGTGTTTCTTACTTTTGGAAATATTTCCTTCTCTACACACCAAATATTGCTATCTTTGATTCATCCCATGATTCCCTCTCACAGCCCCTTGAATCACTCTCTATCTGATTGAGAGGTTGCTATGTCCACTAGAGAAGCAGACAGACAACCTGGGGCATGTGTATATATCAGAATGTGTCTGGGAATTAAATATCTTTGGAGGTTATGATTTACTATAGCTATACATGCACAGTAAGTGAGGTTTTATGTTTCTGTCCACTTTACAGCACTTCCACCTACAATTCATTTAGAAACAAAACACAAAATCCAAATGCATTTAATGTCTATATTCATTCTAGTGAGAAGGTGATAGACTGTGATATGCAGACATGTAGACTGTAGACTCCAATGCAGAGATTGCTCTTGAGTTGTTCATTGGTCTCACTATACAAAAAAGAGACTGATTCACTCCTATATTTGCCAGTTTTAGCAGCCATGTTAGTAACTTGGAGGGCCATTATTTCATCACATCACAACTTCTCATATAGCAGCAAATCGACTGCATATGTTAGTGCTGAGCTAGGGAGACTAAACAGCCTGATGAGCCACTATACAATCATGAAAAAAAAAGATAAAATGTCCAACTGTCTCCTACGCTGACTTACACATGGCCGGTCTCGTGGGCAACCACGAATGCTGAGGAGAAACCATCCTCATGGTTGAGAGTGCAACTGCGTAGTGGGTGGCACATACCCGTGACAGGAGCATACCCTGGAGTGAGACAGAAGATAAAGCAAGAGAAAGAACAAGAGGCAGTTCATGAGAAGGGAAAAACCACAAGCTAGAGCCATTCCAAATGTATTTCAGGACTCCACAGCTGCTCAAGCATATAAATGAAGCCTATCATATGTTCCACTGGCTCATATCCCATGGAGACAAATGGACTCAGAGGGTATTAGAATTACACACGGTTTGAACCTTGCCGTGCCACCTGCAATAACTGTGTTGCCTTCATTCCTGACTCAGTCTCACACTACGGGAACAGCGAACATAGTCTGTATCTTAAACAAATGCACTTGCAACTGTTATACTCCAATGGCCACCTGTTCAGCTGGATAGAAAACATATTTGACAGAGCCCTCACCCCTTTCTGCACCTATTCACATCTTTGACTGTATGTCTGATTTGCCAGCTTCTTCGCAGATTAATCTCATGGTATTTTCCTGTGTAATTTTCCTCAGAAGCTTGTTATAGTAGGTAGCAGAAGGGACTGCTCATGGGTTATAGAGTCTTTCACCCTGAGATTGCTGTTTTGACTCTGGCCCAATCCACAATTGCTGAAAAATATAATAATCTGTTGGCTGTTCGATATCCTAGGTGAGTGGCTGTCAATGTCCCAGACTACTGTAACCCTTTCAGGATCCTGATATGTCTTGTGTATCCCCAAGTTTCACTCAACTACTTGCTTACAAAATCAGTTGTAAAAATACATACATGTCCCAGCACTCTATTATCAGTTTTCTATTATCAGAAAACTTCTGACTTTCTCATTTTTACTATATATTTATAAATCAACTGGAATATGAATATTGTATTTACACATATTATATAGAGCAGTATAAACAAGTCATTGTCTATTTACAATTTTGCGTACTGTAAAACTAGGCAAATATCTAGAGACCTGCACGGATACAAAATTTGTATCCATAGCCACATCTGTACCCACTAAAAGGATATCCACACTGACTTCCACAGATGTGGATACCTGCAAATTTGTAAGTATATAGATGCAAAATTTGTATCTGCATCCACATCTGTATCTGCAAAAATGAACTGCAGATATCCATATCTGCATATGCAAATACCTGCAGATATCTGTGGATTTGCAGGGCTTTACATATATCTAAATGAGATGATATACCTCCTGAAAGACCTCTGAGTATCTCCAGGGATAGGTATGCCTCTGGTTAAGGACCCATGTAAAAAGGACAGACAGTCTCTGCCCAGTTTCTAATAGAGAGGTGCACATCAACTGACAATCTCATCAGACAAAGATTTAATCAGACTAAAACCCAATCTACCACCACAGCTTTTCCAGGTCAAGGAGAAGGATGGTACAGAGCAGCATGCACACTGCTGTTGTCAGTGCAATGGGCATACAAGGGATAGTCTATCTGGCAACATTCATCAGCACTAAATTTTTAAAAAATTCCTCTGACCCTGGAATGCTCCCTGGCATTCCGGGCTCTTTTGGGGAAATAAGCAAATGGAGAGAGCTGGTCAAGGAGGAGTGGAAAGTTCTCTCCTGTCTCTCTCACAAGTTGATTTAATTTGCACTAGTTCTTCAGCAGTGAGTGAAAATATCTGGAGCCCTGCCACAGCAGGCAGAATGAAGAGAGCAACATGTCAAGCAGGTGACAAAAGGGGAAAACAAACACTATCATAAAAAAAAACTTAAGCCAAGGAGTTGACCAAATATCTAAACTGGTCAGTACTCACTGGGACATGGACATGGTTTCCCATGAGGTTATCTTGCCTGCCTGTGCCAGGAAAAGGTTAATATTACACTGAAATACCCAAACATTCCTAGTACTTTGCACTCCATAATAGTAATGCCTCTTGACTAGCCAGACTGCATGTGCACAATGGTACCACTGTTCAATTTAACCCCATATCCTTCTACAGGCCACTGACAAATGTACAGATTCAATGTCAACATTGGTGGCTGCCACCTTCTGAGCCTCTGGCAATTAGCACCCAGTGCAGCTGATGGTTCTGATTGCTCTGAAGAAAGTCAGTATAGAACAGGCCCTAGAAAACACACCCCAGTGAGAGCAGAAGCTCCAATAGAGGGTTTCAGGAAAGGGAATGACAGATTGGATGAGAGGTAAGCAAAATGTGTGCAAGGTTCCACAAGCAGCTTTTTCAGTGCATCTCTGAGCTAATCTGCAACGCACATGAAGACTCCCATAGCTGTGCCAATGCTGAACTTCCATCCTAACCTGCAGATCTCCACTATACACATCCTGGTGCTCTGCTGAGCAAAAATTACAAAAATGCCTCTTGTAGGATCTGGACAAATATCCAGTAGGAACTGAGGTAGGACCAGGGAACAGGGAAGGACATGCATCTACCCAGTGCATTGTCCCTCGATCAAGGGGGACATGCAGTGAGTCAGCTGTGCATGGTGAAGGAGATTCAGATTCCAAGAAGATTCAGCAAGAGGAGGTTACTCACCTCCTGTAACTGATGTTCTTCGAGATGAGTGTCCCTGGAGGTGCTCCACAGTAGGTGTTGAGCTTCCCAGCACCTTTGGATGGAGTTTTGCCTAGCAGCGCTTAAAGTCCGTGCATGCACAGTGTGCTGAGCGTGCGGGCTTCCCCCAGTAGCTATGAGCACGCACAGCCCCCCCCCTTCAGTTCCTTCTCTATCCGGAACCCGGCGGAGTAGTGTAATTTACATGTTTGCTGTTTTTCGTTTTTCTTTTTTGAGTTTCTGAAGTAGAGAGGAGGAAGGGAGGGTAGCAGAGCACCCCCAGGGATGCTCATCTTGAAGAACATTAGTTACAGGAGGTGAGTAACCTCCTCTTCTTCTTCGAAAGGCATCCCTGGGGGTGCTCCACAGTAGGTGACTACAAGCAATCCAGGTTATGGAAATAGGGACTTCGGATGGGTAAGTATGCTATCTGCAGGACAGCTTTTGCTAGTCTAGTATGTCATAGAGAACCAGAAGCAAGAGAATAATGCTTTGCGAAGGTGTGATCCCAGGACCATGTTGCCGCTGCGCAAATGTCCTCCAGTGGAACTTTTGGGTATGTCTAGACCGCATCCCTCTGTTGGCATCCCAATGGTGTTTGCCTCACTGTGCTCCATCAGCACAATGCCAGCTCAGAAAAGCCTGCATTCAAGAGGATGGGCACAGGGAAGGGCTCTGTGCATGGCCAGATGTCAGCTAAGAGTCCCCTGAAATCAGGGAGCCTGTCTGCTTTCCATGCAGCTGGCCATCTTGTTCCCATGCTCTGGAAACTGATCTGTGGACTATCCTGAAAAATTAGCCTTTTTAAGCACATGGACTTCTTTCAATGGCAAGAAGAGACAGGAAATGTGCACAGACACAGTATCAAAATTCTGAGTGGGCAGATTTATTAACTGTGTGTGATGCTACCTCTGCCCCATGCTTTATGTAATTGACTTACTTATGGACACAAATAGGCATAATTCGAAAATGCTTTGGACAAAATACCTCATGTAATCTATCAATTTTAATGTCACAGTCCGCTGGATCTGTGTATCTTATTTTGATGTATGTATCATTCTTGTATGTAAAGTTAGAGATATGAAGTATGGAATGATTAGTGGTTTTAAACGTTCAAATAAAAGCCATTAACAGACATTTCCCTCGATGTCTGGATGATCACCTGTAAACAGCCTCTTTTGTCCTTTGAGTCTAAGCAGTGCTTGGTCTTAGGAAATCACGTGACCACCCCAACTGGTAGGATCTGAGCAGGTAATTTTCCAGGGAAGGGTGGAATGTAGAAACAGAATTCCTGCCCAAAGTGGAATCTATAAAACAATGGGAAGCTAGATGTCCCTTTGTCTTTGGCTGCCATGTCACTCCCAAGAGAATGAACCAGAGGCCACAGGGAAAAAAGATGTTCCCTGGCTTGGAGGTTTAGCTGAAATAAGTACTGTTTTAGGATAAGTTTGTACTGAGCTTTTAGTGTTAGAATTAGCCATGAGTTTTCTGTTATTTTAAATTTGTAATTTACTTTGCTCTGCCTGTTTTCACTTGCAACCACTTAAATCCTACTGCTTGTACTTAATAATATCACTTTTATTTACTATCAAGCCCAGTGTAAATAATTGTTACCTGGGGGAGTAATCAGTGTGTACATCCTCCTTTCATTGTTAAAGAAATAATTTATTTGGAGTTCTGATCCCATTTGGGGAGTGGTTTCGCTGAAAGCAGGGCCCAAAAATGCATTTTCCTCATATCTGAAGAGTTTCAGCGTCTCCTCGGGGATGGGTGGCAGTGATCTCAGGTTTGGGCCTTGGCTGGGGAAGACCAGGAGATCTGGCCCACCAGGACAGGGTGGTGAAAAGCCCTAGAGAGCAAGGAGGCGAGTGTCAGTGGCTTTGTCAGCACCCTGGGAAGCAGCCTGAAGTGGTTGTCTGTGATCACACCCCATCGCACTGTGATTTCTAAGTTGTTGTAGTTTCTGTGTTTAGTCATTTTAAACCCAAACTAAAATAAATCAATGCAGCTCACCTTAAGAGGAGCTGCACTGGACCCTCTGTAAGAAGAACAATCATCAACATGTGCTCTAGCGACTGTTTCAGCCTGACTCCTTCCCCTGGCTGGTACCCCTATTCTGAACATGGATGTTATTCTGCTTCTTTTCCAGGAAGTTTGTCATTGCAATGACCTCTCTGTACTATGTATCTTCCAGGCCACTTGTTCTCCAGAACTCCAGTGGTGACAGAATAACTAATATTAATTATTCTGCAACAAGGAAGAGGAGGAGTCTGAGCAGATGTGAATCTAATTCATAAACGGCATGGCTCGGTGCATCAGCACTTTGTACAGCTGGCCACGGATAATAAAACAAAGCAAAGTCAACAGTTTCCTGAGGAATCCTCCTATATGAATGTCCTGAAGACATTAGTTGACTTCCTGGCCAACTATTGGTAAGACTGAATGCCTCCATCGGCAGAGGCATGTAGTCTAGACATACCCCCAATGTTAAGCTAATGCCCTTGTGGGTATGAACTGGAAGCACCACGGACATTGGCCAATGTGGCAAGGGTAGCCTCAAAGGAAACAGCCTGCATGCCCTTGATCTTTGCACCTCTTGTGAGCTGGGAGTTTCAAACACCTGTTTGGCTGGCACCAGCAACAGTGAGGTCACCTGAAGGCACCACCATTCAGGACAGTGCCATCATCCTGATCTGTCGCAGAAACATTTGTGATGTACCTCACGTGCAATCAATGCACACCACTGACTGTGACCTGACCATGCTCTTGCCAGGGCCAAGCTCCAGCTCCAGCTTGAAAAGATCCGCCATGAGAGGCCAAAATATAAACTCTGCCTTAACCTCACTAACATGAAGGACTCTTAAACTCCTGCTGCATTTTAGCATGTTTCTGAAAAGGATCAATGTGTTTCCCCTGATTCTTTCCCACATATACCAGAATGACTCAAGACAAAAATGAATCTGTTTTATGCAATATTCCAGTTACTGCATTATCTCCATCAAAAATCTCAGACATTGCCATCACAGAGTGAATGAGTAGAAGGAAGTCTGGAAATAGCCCTTTGAAGATGATGGTATTTTAAAAAAATGGAGCATGCTAAGACAGGGAGAGGAATTAACCCACATATGGTCACAGAAGCCCTGCCACAGACACTCATTTTTCAAAATGGAAAGGAGCCAGAAGGCACTTCATCACATACCCTTATATCTGAGCTTCTGAGTTCCTATGCACAGTATCAGCCTCTACAGCTAATGGCCTAACAGAAGCATGGAAACTGAAAGGGCAGAAGGCTTTTATGGGTTCATGGAATGGTCCCAGTCTCAGCACTATGGTGGCTGAGGAACTGGCCATTTAAAAATCAGATTTTAAAATATGTGTTCAGAGGTTGTTCTACCTGGCATAATGAGCAAAGCTGAAGTTTAATGCTTTCTTTACATTGTTGAGTTGGTTGGAACGAGATGTAATGGTAGTTCGAATTAGAAAGCCTAATTCGAACTACCTACTCCGTGCCGCGTGTAGCTGCGGGCACGGAGTCCGAACTACCGGGGATTTAAAAATGGCGGCACCCAGCAAGATGCAAATGAAGTCCGGGATATTTAAATCCCGGGCTTCATTTGCAATTTCGAATGACTACATTAACCACCCTAGTTCGAACTAGGGTGGTAGTGTAGACATACCCTAAGTGTCTAATGTCCAACTAGTCATATCTAGGATTGTGATGACCATGATAATCACATGGTGAGCTACCTGCCAGATGTGAAGGTTTTGGGCCACTTGAAGTACACAGAAAGACGTATGTGCTGTTCTGGGAAGGAGCTGGTGGTTCCGGTTCATGTAAGTAACTAATGACATAGGGAAAGGTTGGAGAGAGGTTCTGGTGGGCAAATTTAAGGCTGCAAGGTAAGAGATTAAAATCCATGAGCTTCATGGTAACTTTCTCTAAAATGTTTCTAGTTCCATGTGCAGGCCAGTTAAACAAGCAAAGCTGCAGGATCTCATTGCATAGATAAAACATTGGTGTAGTGGAGCAGAGGTTTTAGTTTGTTAGGAACTGAGGAATCTTTTAGGAAAGACAGTCTTTATGGGAAGGATGGACCCAATCTAAACCAAAATGGGACTAAACTGGTGGGCATGTAGAATTAAAAAGATAATAGAAGAGATTTTAAACTAAGGGCTGTAGGGAACCTGACAGATGAAAAGGAGCACGTGGTTTGGACAGGGACCAAACTTTAGGAGAAGATCTATTCAAAGGGATTTTCTATGCCTAGTCAAAAGGAGAGAATAGAAATTAATAAAGTATAGGTAGGAGCTGAAATGAAACAGTCAAATGAAAAGAAGTACTGTTTAATTACATTATATGAAGGTGGACAACTAAATACTGACAAATTTTATAACTGTTTGTATATCAATGTTAGGAGTCTAAGAGGTGAATTTCATTGCCTGGTATTAAATGAGGATATTGATTAAGAGGCATAACAGAAACTTGGTGGGGCCATAATAATCAATGAGACACGGTAATACCAATGTAACAGATATATAAGAATGACAGAGTAGGTCATATTAGTGAAGGAGTGACACTTTTTGTGAAAGACAGTGCCTGTGAAATGTTCAAGGAGATTACAGAGACTATAAAAACAGAGAACTCAGTAAGAATGGAGGATTTCAACTCACAGATCAGTAACTGCATAAAAGACAGGAAACAAAGGATAGGACTAAATGGCCAATTTTCAGAATGGAGAGAGAGAGCGGGATGAATCCGCTTGAAAAGTCCCTCAATGATCAGTATTGGCACCAGTGCTGTTCAATATATTCATAAATTATCCAGAAAAAGGAGTAAACATTGTATTTGCATATAATACAAAATTACTTAAGATAGTTAAGTTGAAAGCACACGGCAAAAAATTACAAAGGGACCTCACAAAACTGGGTGACTGGTCAAAAAATGATGAAATGCAATGTGGATACATGCAAAGTAATAAACATTCAAAAACATAATCCCAACTACACATACAAAATGATGAGGCCAAAATTATGTTACCACTCAAGAAAGATAGTTTGTGCCACTGTGGATAGTTCTCTGAAAACCTCTGCTCAATGTCCACTGGCAATAAAAAATCCTAATAGTGTTAATAATAAGACCCCCATGGCATGCAAATTTGTCTTTTCTCCTTTCTTTTTATTAAGTTCTAATTTTGATAACTTATTTCAAAAGCTTGCTAGACAGTAACCACAGCCTGTAGGCATCAATTGCTGGCTTTCCCCCAAGCCCAGCAAACTGCAAAGACATGATTGAGATGAATACAGTACCTTGCATACCTGCAGGACCAAAATCTTGCCTGGTGAGGAATACAGCATGGTCATGGTATTCAGCATGGTCTGGGTTTGAGCGCTGCTGAGAATGGGCCCAGCGGCAGACCTGCTCCAAGCTGCGAGACGGGTTCCCCCGCTCTATCAGGCTGACTGACTGGGGAGAGAAAAGAAAGGAGAGGCATTACTGGGTGACAATGAATCTGTCCAGAGTTTTTGGGTAGAGGGTACAGAAGTTCCACGGATAAAGTTTACACAACATTTAAGAATGAAAACATAGTATTTTAAATTTCATAATATTTTTAAATTTCAGCTTAAAGCCAGCGGGGACCACCAGATCTTGTTGGACCTCATGTGTGTCAGAAAGCACAAACCACCACCCAACACCTGCACATTAAAGCCAACAGCCAAAATCAGACAGAAAAATTACAGCCTTCAAGAGACTAAGTTCTTGTGTGCCACACAGAGAATACAGGAAGGGACAGGTGCACCAATGCCCAAGGCCTCTCCCATTGAGGTACACCCAGCTGATCCCAGCAAATGGCCTACATCCCATGCTGCGGAGATAGGGAGGGAAAAAACAGGTCACTGTCAACTGACCTGGGAGAAGACTCCTTCCTAAACTCATGTATGGCTTGAGAAAATGCATTGTGCCACCTCAGAGCCCTGACCCGCTCCAGCTACTGCCCCATCTCCACTCACGGCCATCTCTGGTGCTTCAGAGAAAGGAGACCAAAAAAAAATCCTATAGAACCCATTAGACAGGAAAAAACTTTCCTTGTACACTGTCTTGTGTAATACCAAGAGGTAGAACTGAACCAGGGTTCTCTGGAGTTTAAGCACATGAGCATCTACAGCTTGAGCTGTAATGCCAGCTAGCTCTCAGTTGAGGCTGTAACGCATTCTTTCTCTCTGTAAGTGGTCTAAGTGCCACTACATGGGACAGGGAACCAAGCCCAGTAATGTGAGGATTACACTTACACATGAACAACACTGTGTCCCTGAAACTAGACATGCAGCACACCCAGGAATGAAGGCTGTCACACAGTAAACAGAACAGCAGTGTGGGGAGGGCTAATGCTGAACAAAGACCCCAAAGTAAGTGCCTACGTTTATGAAAACCTAGGTAAGTTTTCAAGTACAACAGCAAGGATCTTGGTTTTTAAGGTCTTGTTCGGGTAACCCCACACAGTACATTGCGTGGTCCTTGGTGTACTGTAGAAGGCTAAGGCTGAGTCAGTCCTGTCAGGATTGCAACTTGTGGCTCCTAGTTCACGTCTCAAGTCTTAGATCTTCTGCTTTTGACTCCCTTACATTTTGAGGACATCATCAATTTGATGCCATCCTGAACACCTTAGCAAAGAGGCCAGACACCCAATCTTCTTCCTTATATGGAAATGATGTTCTGTTGTCACTTGTCTGGAGCTGTCTGCCACGCTGTGGGCTGCCTCAAACTCCTCATGCTCCTGGGAAACCATGATAACTATCTACAGGATGCATGCAGTTCCTGCTCACCAGGAATATTTTTCTTGTCATCATATATTGATCAGGAAAGCCTGCTGTTCTGTATCTGCAGCAGCTCATCAAATGTCTATTTGCTTCAGTAAACAGTAAGGTTATACACAGACAGAAAAAACCTCCCATCAATGTAGGCTGCATCCACATAACAGGGCCATGACAGCACAATTATGCCAACATAGCTCTGTTGGTAGGGCAGGCATATCCTTTGACTCTTTAACGGTGTAGGTGTTTGACACCTGAGAGAAAGCTTTGTACTCCATATGGGCTACGTCTACACTGGCCCCTTCTCCGGAAGAGGCATGCTAATTTTGAACTTGGGAATAGGGAAATCCGCGGGGGATTTAAATATCCCCCGCGGGATTTAAATAAACATGGCCGCCGCTTTTTTTCCGGCTTGGGGAAAAGCCGGAAAAAAGCATCTAGACTGGCGCGATCCTCCGGAATAAAGCCCTTTTCCGGAGGATCTCTTATTCCTACTTCGAAGTAGGGGCCAGTGTAGACGTAGCCCATTTGTGTTAGCATGATCACAACACTGGGTTTATGGTGTACGTTTCTGCGCTTTTAATGAGAGGATCTTGGTGTTCCACATCAGCTGACAGCCCTTTGATTTAAATATTCTGTTTACAGAAAGGGAAACAGGCAGAGTGGTCTAAGATTACAGTGAGTAAGTGACAAAATCAGGATTTGAACCTATAAGATTTTACTCCCACTCACTGAGCCCTGATCTACTCTAGGGAGTTATTTCAAAATAACAAGCAGAGTGTCCACACTACCCAGCCCATTATTTCGAAATAAGGGTCTGGTTATTTCAAAATAACAACTCCTGCTTTCCACAAGGAGTAACACTTACTTTGAAATAATTATTTTGAAATAGTGGTAGTGCGGATGCTCCACTGCTGCTATTTCGAAATAAGTACTCCCCAGAGTCATTCAAAGTAATTACTCCCCAGTGCTTGCTGGGGCTCTAAGTCGAGGTAGTGCATGCATATTAAGGCTACATCTATACTGCTTCCTTCTTGCACAAAAGCCTATGCAAATGAAACACGGATTAGCATATTGCCGTGCTTCATTTCTATAATTAACCAAGGGCCATTTTTGCGCAAGAGGCTTTTGTGCAAAAAGGAGCTGTGTAGATGGCTCCTTTTTGTGCAAGAGGGGTTTTTGTGCAAAAAGGAGCCATCTGCACAGCTTCTTTTTGCACAAAAGCTTCTTGAGCAAAAACAGCCCCTGATTAATTATGCAAATTAAGCATGGCAATATGCTAATCCACGCTTCACTTGCATAGGCTTTTGCGCAAGAAGGAAGTAGTATAGATGTAGCCTAAGGGGGGAGTCTGCCTTGGACTAATTTCAAGGCTTCCCCATAGTGTGGACATGCTATTTCAAAATTATTATTTTAGGAGTTATTATTTCAAAAGAAGTTATTTTGAAATAATTTCTGAGTATAGACATGTCCTGAGAGGTAATGTTGTCCACTGGACCAAGCAGCAAACTAACCGACTCCAATCCTGATCCTGACACTGATTTACTCTGTGACCTTGGGCAATTCACCCAACCTTTCTGTGCTTTGGTTTCCCTGCTTGTAAAATAGGAATGAAAAGTTACCTTATGAACTGTTGTGAGGACTGATTAACAGTTGTTCCATGCTTTAAATTAGGAGAATTGTGAAGGCCCCAATTTGCAAAAGCAATTATTTAAGTGTGTTTCCCTATTCAGGATAGCACTTAAGCACGTGCTTCACTGGAATTTAATAGGACTTGAGCATATGTGTATGACCTCTCCTGAGCAGCAACATTTTCCTGAATTGGGGCATATGTAAGGACTAATTATTACTGCCAATAGACACTAACCCCACACTGTTGCTATTCACTTAATTCCCTTTTGAAGATGACAGGGGAGAGTTGTGCCTTCACTCTTACTACATATTACACACACACTCCACAGTGCTCTTTGTCTTGGTAAAGAACACAAAATGAGTACAGCTATATTAAAACAAAAAACAAACTCCACAGTGCCCATTCAAAAAGCTTCTCTCTGCATAGTGATGTGACAGAAAATCCCTGCAACCAAAAATTAACCTCAGTTAACCAAATAAGATGTTAATTACTGGGAGATTAACCCTCTTGCCCTACCCCTTCCAATCCAGCTCAGAGCTGTAGTCAGCAGCAGCAGTGGGGGAAGGGTAAGAGCTCTCAATAAAAACACAGGGGTACTGTAAGGCAGAGATGTCCTCATGTCTGCCTTCCATAGAAGGAAAATCTTTGGAGTCTAGGAATTTTAGCAAGTCTCACAGTAAACTGAGAGAGATTCAAGATAGTTTCATTTCAGTCTAGCAAAGCCACAGCATGTGCAGCTGCTTACAGAGGGAATGGAACTCCAGTAATATGTTTGAACAGAAACCTGTTTGACTTTCACACTTTAGCAAGAGATCAAAAATAGATCTTCAGAGCAAGGAACTGTTTGTAAAGCACTGGGCAAATTTACAGCACTGCATGGCATGTTATTTTTAATAATTGTAGCTGCATTTTAGCAGGTCCTGTGCTGAAGTTAGAATGCTGGTTGCTGACCTTGTGAGATCCCAATCATTTCTATGTAGCAGATTTTGATATCATACACATATTGCACTGATGATTAACTCATATAGAAGCTTGGCTGTGAGAGAGAGGATCTCTAATGCAAACACTAATATATAACTAGACTGAATCCTGAGTCATCTCCCCAGACATATACACAATCTGAAAGCAGTGGGTGCAGACAGACGAGGAAGTTAGCTAATGATGTTCTTTTTATAGACATAACCCAGTCTGGACGTTCATTGCATCCCTCAGCTCAAGCCTGAGCATGATACAAATTGTGAAACAACCCCCCCTCCATATAGCATCTTCTGCTCACATACCCCTGTATTTACCTGTCTGTATCCCACCATGATCATTCTGACCAAGACAATGTTAATGTGAACCCCTAGGGACTCATCATGATAAATTTCATCCACCTAGAGAGAAAAACAAAATAGAAAATAAAGTTAAAAATAACCCAAATATTGACTTCTAAAATGTTCCCATGCCTATAACAACAGACAAACTTCTCCAGATGCTAAGACAGTACAGAGGATCTGCTAGTTTTCTTCACAGGACTATTCATCTGAACCACTGCAGTGAATCAGTAAGAAGAGAGACACTGGCAGGCAACATCTTGAAAAAGCAGTTTAATATTTTGTCTCTCACAATTGCTTCTTCACCACATGAAAATAACACAGATAGTAACTGCAGATCTCTTTCCAGTTAGACTTGGAACAAGCAGTATCTCTCTGAAGGTTCATACTCTTTTTCAGCTTTTCAACTTCTTTTGGAACTCTCTAGTGAGCCACAGTCAAGAGATCCCCCGCTGAGCGAAACCTCAAGGATTTAGTCCATCTTTGTGTGATAGAGACGCATGATGCTTTTTAATTTCCAGAGAGCGACTACAGCACAGTGCCAGCGGTACTCCTCTTTCCCCTCGCATGAGTGCCAGTATAGTAACTAGCAGTTCTGAGCTCCTCCTATGCCTACATATAGAGAGGTTCCTATTTGAGTAGTTCTGATTTGGGGGAAGGATTTATCTATGTCGTATCCCAGTTCAGGAGAAGCAGTGTAACAATCTTTTAAGAAGCAGGTATTTCTGTTCATGGCTCTCATTACATCCATTTTAAAACCCTCTTTGGGAACACAACACAATCATCCTGCACAGAGGTGGTTCCCTCTCCAAAAGGATCATGTTGCTAATTCCTTGAAGGAAAAGGCATTGTATTTGTTAAGTAGCCTCTCGACCAGGTGTACAGCCCCAGAAAGCACACTCCCCTCCATATCACTCCCAACTGAAGGAGACAAAAATATGCTGGATGCAGGTACCTATCCTCACTATGGACCGTCAATGGTTATGCAGTCTGAAAAGTTTTTCAAGTCCAGCAATTTAACTCTGTGGCATTGATGCAATGTTTTAGAATGTGCATTATTGCCTTGATACATCACTGCCTTACCCCCAGCCCTCTAAAAGCACATCACACCCATCCCCCATGGAAAAAAAATCAGGAAAAGCCTCTGACACAAAGTTTTCAGTCTCTCTTCCAGCATCCTTTGCTGTTGTGGATTTTGCTGAAGAGAATTATCTTTCTGCCACCCTGAAGAGGTCCTATGAGGAGTTCTTTCTGAAGGGCAGCTGACAGAAATGTCCCAGAGACACCAGAATATCATTCACAGATAAAGGAAACTTGCTAGATTGCAGATGTGATTCCCCCCTCGCTTCCCCCTTCAGTACACAAGACCTTTCCTCACTCCTCCTTTAACAAACTTTGAATTCACTCTGTTCCCACTCACTCTGCAAGATCTTTAACAAACTTTGAATTCACTCTGTTCCCACTCACTCTGCGAGATCTCTCCAGACCGGTGTTTCTCAACCTTTTTTCATAAAGTACCCCTTTAAAAAAATTATAAGTAACCCCAGTACCTACTGTAGCCAGGCAGGCGATGAAATGTTTGGGTGTAAAAAGTACAAAAATAATAAAGTGCTGAAAAACGTAAAACAAATTTTCAGTTTTCTCCAAATTTCAGTTGTGTTTACGTACCCCCCAGACTTCTCTCAAGTACCCTAAAGGTACTCGTACCACTGGTTGAGAAACACTGCCCCAGACCACATCATCATCTCTCTCCTCCCACCCCTTCGCCTCTCATGTTTTCTATGCATTCATCTTATGAAGTCCTAATTCACATGCCTCCCAGGAGCTGGAAATGGTTAAAATAATCTTCCCTTGCTCTGTTTGTAGAAAAACACTGTGAAGCAGAACTGACAGCAGGATGACAAAGCTAGAATATCCTTCTTTTCCGGGGCGCCTATCATATAACCACATGAAAACGCCTTTCATTTCAGGAACACAGAGGGCTGATTGTTTCCACACAAGGCAAGAGACAGACTCTCTTCAAAAGATGTAACACCAAAAAAATATTTTAAAACTCGCGCGCGCATGCACACACATGTACAGTCTATTTGAACAGTCTCCATAGCAACACTTAAACACAGCCCCAAAGCCAAGCCTAGCTGCACTCCTACTCCTTTCCTCACTTGGATTCTGATTTACAAGGTCATGCATGGCCAGGTACAGAGTTAATGTCTTTCTTCTTTTAATGTACGGTCTATTTTTATAAAGCAACAACCAAATGATTGGGTGCTTTGTTCTCTGATGATATCCCTGGTATTGTCAACTAAGTCCAGAACAGTTAGATTTTCCATGGCAATTGTATCAACTTAAATCATGCAGCAATGAGTGATTTCCATGAGCAGAAAGTCTGAACTCATACAGTGGAAGGAAATGTTTCATGTCCTAACATCCTGGCATTTTAAAGAGAAAAATGGCATTTTAGAGAGATATGAGATCTTATTAAGATGAATAAATTAATCATCTGAAAGTCTGTCATTAATCACCTGTCTCACTCTCACAGGGTATGTCTACACTAACTCGTTAATTTGAACTAGGTAGGTGAATCAGGCAACCGGAGTTGCAAATGAAGCCCGGGATTTAAATATCCCGGGCTTTATTTGCATGTTCCCGTCCGGCCGCCTATCAATTTAGGATTAAACAAAGACTGTGAATGGCTAGCCAATTACAAAAACAGTTTTTCCTCTCTTGGTATTCACACCTCCACGTCAGCTGCTAGAAGTGGGCCACATCCTCCCTGACTGAATTGACCTCGTTACCTCTGGCCTTCCTCTTGATTGGTACTCCTTTCTTTTCATGTGCCTGTATATTTATACCTGCCTCTGTGCTCCTTTCCAAACTAAACAAGCCCAGTTCTTTCAGTCTTCCCTCATAGGTCATGTTGTTGCTCTTCTTTGGATGTCTCCAAATTCTCCACATCTTTCCTGATACATGGGGTCCAGAACTGGATATAGAACTCCAGTTGAGGCCTACTTAGCACACAGTAGAGCAGAAGAATGACCTGTCATGTCTTGCTTGCAACACTCCTGTTAATGCATCCCAGAATTGTTTGGTTTTTTTGTGACAGTGTCACACTGTTCTCTCATGTTTAACTTGTAGTCCACTTGGGCAGCCCCAGCCCCAGGGCACATGTGGGCGCTCGGGTGCGCGGTGCTCGAGCGGCGCTGGTGCCGGCCTCAGGCGCGTGGCTTGGGCAGCACCCTGGGCCCACGGCACAGGGCGCTCGGGCGGCCCTAGCCCCGGCCCTAGGGCACATGCCAGCGCCAGGTGCAAGGGCATCCCAGTCCCCTGGCGTGCCCCCGGACGTGCAGCCCTGCCCCCACCTCCCGGGCGCCCGGCGCGTGAGAGGCCCCACCTCCCGGGCGCCCGGGAGCCTCTAAAGGTTGGGGACCACACTGTCAGTCTATAAGGTGCCACAGGACTTCTCGTTGTTTCTACATCCATGGTGGCTATGATGGTGTTTTCTGGAAGATCATCAATGCCTTGTAGTTTTCTCAGGAAGTCAGTGGTGTCTTGGAGATAGCTGGGAGTGCTGGTGGCGTAGGGTCTGAATAGAGAGTTAACATATCCAGAAAGTCCTGCAGTGAGAGTGTCAATGCCCAACATGATGGGGCATCCAGGATTTCCAGGTTTACGGATCTTGGGTAGTAGATAGAATTACCCTGGTTGGAGCTCTAGGGGTGTGTCTGTGTAGATTTGTTCCTGTGCTTTTGTAGGGAGTGTCTTGAGCAAATGGTGTAGTTTCTTTGTGTACTCCTCAGTGGGATCAGAGGATAGTGGCCTCTAGAACGTGGTATTGAAGAGTTGTCTGGCAGCCTCCTTTTGGTAGTCTGACCTATATGTGATGACAATAGCACCTCCTTTATCAGCCTCTTTGAGTATAATGTCAGAAATCACTAGTCACTTTTAAAGACCGCGGCCCTCAGACATTCATTATACAGCATGGAGAATAGGGACAAAGCCAAAATTTATTCTTTGTAGGTCATCTTCGAGAGGGACAAATCCAGGGTTTGAATTCTTACTGCTATTCTCATTAGTGCTTGTCTTTCATCATTCAAGAAAGGGTTTTCTTGCAGTATTTCACCAAGCTAGAACATATTGGACAGCTTTAGGGGCACAGGAAAAGAGAAGTTACTCACCCTGTGCAGTAACGATTGTTCTTCGAGATGTGTGTCCCCATGGATGCTCCACAGTTGGTGTCAGGCTTGTCCTGGCACCACAGATCAGAGACTTTGATAGCAGTAATAGGGCCAGCTGCGCATGCACAAGCAGAGAAGCGGTGCTCCCACCTTTGAAGTAGCACGTGCAGCCTGCTTCTCCTCTGTTTCTTCTTTGACGCCCTCATAGGCTGCTACTATTGCCCAAAGAAGTGGGGAAGAGGGCGGGTAGTGGAGCACCCACAGGGGGACACATCTCGAAGAACAATCGTTACTGCACGAAGTGAGTAACTTCTCTCTTCTTCAAGTGATAGTCCCCTGAGTGCTCCACAGACGGTGGGCTTCGATCAATTGATACAGATTGTGGAGAGAACCGCACTGGCTACTGCGGTATCTGTTGTGGAGCATGGTGGAATAGTGTAATGCTTTATGACCATGCCATCCAGAGTCTCAAAAACAACCTGGACATTATAATCAAACCAGCTGACAAAGGGAGTGCTGTGGTCATTATGAATAAGGCTGACTATAACCAGGAGGCAACCAGACAACTCTCCAACACCACTTTTTACAAACCTCTCTCCTCTGATCCCACCTCGGAATACCAAAAGAAACTACACTGTCTCCTTAAAATGTCTCCTGAATCTGCAGATTCAGACTAACACGGCTACCCCTCTGATACTTGTCTCCTTAAAAGCCTCCCTACAGCTACTCGGGAACAAATCCACACAGAAACACCTTCTGACCCCCGACCAGGATTGTTCTATCTGCCTCCCAAAATCCATAAATGACGTCCCATCATCTCTGGTATTGGCACGCTCACTACTGGTCTATCCAGCTATGTAGACACTCTTCTCAAACCCTTCGTAA